CTACAACTCCGAAACATGTTTAGAAGACCATCCTCAAGGATTTTATCGCAAACACTTTACTCAATCTAGATAGCCAAAAAACTGAACTAAACGAGGCTAGCTTGCGGGACTTACTATAAGGAGTACAACTTGCTACTAGCCTAAGGAGGTACATCTGTTATATTTCATATGTTATAATAATATCTTTTTCTTACATTATATTGTTTAGGACAAAATCTTGGATGTGTGAATCTTGAGAGAGGAAGTTATAATCAAAAATTGACTCCATCCTTGAATTGAAACGGACCTGTCCATATGAGTTCATCCACGAAAGTTTATTTCTAGACTAAGTTGTGAATGAGTAAGAGTGCCCCTTATACGAGTTCATCCACGGAAGTTTATTTCTAGATTAAGTTGTGAATGAGTAAGAGCGCCCCTTCGTCTTCAAAATGTCTACTATGGGCCCTGCCTCTGGTGTAGATCTTGTCTCCCGAATGAACATGTTTGGCTCTAATGATCTTGCAAATGCATGGGTACATTTTGACCATATAGAGTGCATATCAAGTTGAACAACTATGGGAGCTCATATGTATGATCTAGGGTAATTTTTATTCTCATTATATTGAAATTGTTGTAATATTTGTGTCTTCATAGGCTACATTGTAACTTGACAATTGTGATAGCAAAGTTTAAAGTACAAAACAAGACAGCCCAGGAAATATGTTGGAAGTCCCTCTCCGATATTGTCTTAAAGCAGACTGGTAAGCCTGCAAACTTTTGCGGTTTCATGGCAGATGGGGCTGGGGCTAATTGGAATGGTGTCCAGGCAGTATTTGGGAATGGTCAACCCCTAGAAGGTCGTGAGAGGACTTGTAAGTTCCATTGGGCTTAGAGCCTAAACCAACACTACCCCTTATCAAGCTAGATTTCCAATTAACATTTAAGGAGTTGTGCAAACAATGGCAGATTGCACCTTCTAAAGAAGAGCATGAGGCAAAAACAAACGAGATTCAAATGTGGTAGCATGAAGATGGCCATACAAACGTAAATTGTCTACCACAACTTGAGTCATGGTTAGGGTGGTGGGAAGTTAGGATGTTCCAGTGGGGACATCACTCTTTTCAGGTTGGTTTCTATTTTTTCTTCTCATTTTATTACTTTTTAATATTGCTTTTTCTATTAGGATCAACCACTTGAGGACCTCGCATATACCCCAACTGTGAATCTTTCTGAAAGTAAGCACTGGAGTTGGCATTCCTCTGAGGCAGGGAAAGGGAAGATGAGTCTATATGAAGCTTGTCTATCATATTTAATATGGGCTATAGAGCAATCTTTAAAAGTACTAGCATTCGATGAAGAAAGATACATAGGAACAAGGCCTTCTATTAAGATGTTACATGATAGGATGAAGAGAAAATTAATTCCACCCGCCCGAACAATGGCAATTGCAGTTAAGGAAGTGGTCCGTGGCACATCTATGGAGTACACTCCTCGAGCTTCTATTGGTGATATGAAGACTGTCTATTCAAAGTGTCATTTTTCCTTTGTTGGTGAAGATGTTGGTACGGACCTTGGAGCACAAAGTTCTCATAGGCTTGATATCGAGTACCATTCTGCTCCAAGACACTGCTATTGAACCGAGCCACCTCAAGTGGCTGATGAAGAAAGTGCATCACAACATGTCGAAATTGCTTACTGTAGCGTGGAGCCGAAAAAATGGGCAATCCATCAAGTGTCAGCAAAATTGAATGTAAAGTGTGTGGGGATGCTTCCGAGGGGCCTGGATTCATGGTGACAAATCTACTTCTGTTCTAGCCCTATGTTTCTATGGGGAATGAAAACAAACAGGATTTTCGAGATGGTGCTGGCTGTATTGTTGCAACACCGATGCCAACCATACGAAGCGGTTTGAAGACACTATAGTGACTAAACCTAATGCAATACCTAAAGAATGGCCGGTTGCTAATAGGGTCGCGCTCATCTTGGATGAGATTGAAAACCTTGAAAACTCTGGTTTCAATCTTGAGAGGAGAGTTGAAGATATAAGTGACAGAACTAGGACTATTCCTACAGAGATGCACAAGAGTCTAGCAAGATAAGGTAAGGTAGTTAAATTTATTGGTACCGTCTCCAAGCAGAAGCAGGGTAAAATAAGCTTAGCTCAAACACTTGAGTGTGAGATTCTCTCCACAAAGTATATCATTGCGCTTGCAAAGAAGTACATAGTCAAAACAAAAGGTGGAAAGTACACAATTGCCAATCAAGACTTTCCTTCCTACACATGTCCAAACTTTATGAAGCGCAAGGAACATGGGAAGGCATATGCTCTTTGCAAGCATATGTACTACATCTTCATCAACATCTTGCACTAGGATTCTAAAGTGGATATTCATATACACCAAGTAAGCCTTATTATTGCTGAGCTCTAGAAAACATTTGGAGCTAACTAGGTTTCTCCAACACTATCGATATTTATTCTCTATTAATAATATAAACTTATTATACTTTATATAATTAATAACAAAGTGTTTTTTCATTTCACTTTTCATTTTTTATACTTTCAAATGTTCTTTTCACAATACTGCCATAGTACTTGTGTGTCTCCATTTCTATCTTTACTATCTCAAAAAAGAAATCATGGTAGTCTTTCGGGTGTGTGATGTTGCAGTGTGTCGTAAAAGCATATATACCATCATACTAATCATCGCCATTGCTTCCACCAGATGCTAGAAAATATATAAGGCATTTTTTGAAAGTGGCAAAATTGCACTTTTCTAAAACAAGTAAGAAGGCATTTTTTTTCACCCAATTTTTTGCACCTACTATCATTACATTTATCTCTAACTCATGATCACTATTGTCACTATCCTCTCTTTCATTCTTTTATGTGGTTTAATTATGCTGTGCAATGGGATAGTTATTGCATCTCCTACCTCTTGAACCCTAGGAAGAAAGATTGTGAGAGTTAAAATTACCAACACTAGAACCCATAAACATTTGTGTGTATTTCCCTTTTTTCAAATGAGAGTGTGAATGAACATTTAAAAATTCTAAACAGTATGCTATGACAAACCCCTCAAGAATGTATTCTAGAAAGAACCAAGTCTTTCTTTTATATGCAATAAGCTTACATCAATGGTTATTTTTTTCCTTTCAAATGGTTATATGGCTTTCTATAGAATCTTATTTCAAATTTAATAACTTTTTAATTCTAACAAACTTAACATTTACTAGCCAGAAAGCACATAGTACAAATTTAAAAAAGTGACAAGAATACTCTTTTTGCAAACATTTTATTTTATATTCTAACAAATGTCCCTATCATTGCTTGTAGTAAATATTTAAATTTTTAGAACAAAAAGTGTCCTTTAGAATATTTTTATCTATATAATATATAGAGAGTTATGAAATTATTAAGTCCGCCATAACCTTAAAATTTTAAAGTTTATAATGTTTATACTAAATTGCAATTAAAAATTGAGCTCAACTTATGAACTTAACTCTTCAGCTTGTGAGCTCAAGTATG